AGAATTTTATTATATGTATGGATGTATATTTTAATGGAATCATATGCTTATGAAATATAGGAATAAGTTTATCGCGTTTGTAAAAATACCCAAAATTAAAAGCTGAGCATAATTTGACAAAGGAACGTAGTAATATGCAGAGATATTTAACTTATGTTAAAAATAAATGCTATTTTTTTATAATACGCTGACAGTTTATCTTGTAGGTACATGCAAAGTTGCAGTTATTTACACATCTCTACTCCGACTTAAAATAACGTTTGGTGAATGTAATTTAACTGAGAATTGCAGCAATCAGTTTAGATTAAATAGTTAAATGTATTAAGTATAAGATATACATGTTACGTCTATATCTATTTATAATGCGTTTCGTCTTACATAGTTACATACACAAAGCTGGAGCTTGTCTAATACGCTCATGATGTGACGTGACAAACCACAGGCTGCGCTCGTTTCGTACTCCTGTCGACATGTACGAGTATGTTCTGTTTACAAGGTGTTAGTTATTTGTCCATTGTTCCGAATGTTTTTCATTCACAATTTCTACATGTTCAGAAGACGAGTGATAACACTAATATGTAAAGAATGTCTATCTACTTGAAAATAAGTTTAAAATCTACTGTCAATACTCGATACGTCTTATTTTAATTCGAGCTTTTGTATATGCTGTGAGAATGAAAATCGATAATCTAATATATTTAAACGAGCAATTCTTGTATTTATATATATATAATCTGAATCTCAGAAACGGCTTCAACGATTTTCATGAAATTTAGTACACAGGTGTTTTAGGGGCGGTAAATCGATTTATATTAGTCTTGTGTCTGAGAAAACGCGTGTTTTTGAGTTTTCATGCAGTTTTATTTTGCATTATTCCACGCAAAATATGGTCGGTAATTTGCACGCTCTGGTATAAGTATCGTGTTCAAGCGGTCAAGGTGCAAGATCAACAATCACAGGTCGAATCTCGGGCGCATACAAAGTTTTTACTCTAATTTCTTTTTAATATTTATTCAAGTTTTTAGTTTTTTTTAAAAAGACGCAAGATTGACAGTCATAGTTGTCCGGGTTCGAATCCCGGTCGGATACACAGAGGTATATTTTTTTTTGTTTTTTTTTTTGTATTTATTCAAGTGTTTAGTTTTTTTTTTAAAAATTGTACTTATTAACCAAAACTCCGAGCGAAGCTCGGTGGCCCAGGTACTTATTGTAATTTAGATACAGAAAGTAACAAGTACTTTTGAATCGTCAGTTTAATTTTAAGAGAGTCAGTCAGTCTGTGAGGAAGCTATCACTGGTCTGAAATGCAGTTCTGTTGAGAAGAGCCGGGGATAAACACAATTACATGTATATATTTATAAAAGTACAATATTATAGCTCTGTATGGGTTAATTTTCCTCCGCACATTTTCATCAACTAGAAACACTTAAACAGAGTAATATGCTTTAATTAGTAAGTAATTTATTTCCCATTTTAGCTTTAAATTGTGTAGAAGGTAAATCTTGAGCAGACTTGATAGCTTGAGGAACTTTATTATATATGTATACTAGCAGTACCCGCGACTTCACCCGCGTTCAAAATACAAAAAAAAAAGAAACTCTTTGCTTTTATGTTATAACTAATAATAATTTGATTGCTGTAATGATATGCAAATGTTTGAGTATAATTTTAAGACACGCGTCGAGGATTCCGTACCTACTTACATTTGAATACAAATTTAATTTTAGCGATCGAAACTCAAAAAGATATTCAACGTATATTCTGTATATTAATTTTAGTTTAAAGTAGGTATTTAGTAAGCTTCACTACCACTATTTTTTGCACATTTTTCTACTCTTTCTAACGTTAGAGAAAAAGAGTACAATGATACAACTCGCATACAATGTTTACGATTTTAGAATAAAAAAAACTTTTTAACAAAAAAATAAAAACCGACTTCAAACAAAAGCACTAAAAAGTAAAAAATAACTGATTGGTAGATGGTAGTAGATTCATTTACTATACATACTTAATCAAATATTTTCGAAGTCGGTGTGCTTTGCTTTGTATCGGCTGGAAAATTGGCAAATCTAATAGAAATGTTTATTATTTTTTATCTTAAATCGAAATACCATTTTCCGTGCATTTCGCGTTAAGATTAACAGAGTTTACATCCAATATATACAATTATTCATCTATTTTACCTCCTTAGGGGATGAATTTCGAAAAATCCTTTCTTATCGGATGCCTACATTATAATTATGTCCTCCAAATTTCACGTTTATACAACCAGTTGTTTAGGCCATTCGTTAATCTATCATATACATGATGGATTTTTGAGACGGGACAGTAAGGGCAGGTACTTTAACTGCTATAGTTACAGGAAAACGCCTCTAGGAGACCATCCATAACTTTTTGAGATATTCTGAACTACATTCACAGATTTTGGAAAAAATGGACAGTTAGCGAAAAAAATGCTAAAATATAATACCAAACAAAATTATTTATGTTTATCGATCCTATTTCATGTAGGGATCAAAATACTCTATGGGACCATTTAAGGTATGAGTACTAGAAATGATAGAAATCGCCAAAAACTTTTCCCATACATTTTGTACGGAAAAACGATTAATCAACTCGAATTATTCTTTGTTGCCTAACGGTCCTATTTCTTATTGTGATCAAAAGACTCTTTGAGACCAACTAAAGTTTGAGTACAAAAACTTCTATAAGTCACAAGACCAGGTAAGTCATTAGATCTTCTTACCAAATTTCATCTAAATCGGTTCAGTAGCTTCGGAGCTCATTCGGTACAAACAAGCAAACAAAAAATCAAATCTTTCCTCTTCATACTATTGGTATAGATTAATATTAATTATAATTTTTTTTGTATTTACAATTACTAACCATTATATGGAATAATTTAATTGAAACAAATTAATTGAATTGAATATAATATACCTTTGTAACTTTTTGTTCGTTTGTCTGTATTTTGTATACCAATCATATGATTGCGACATAACTTTACTAGCAACTTTAACACATCTAGAAAAAAAATTGATTCAGTGCAAAAACGTTAAACAACTAATCTGCGAGTGGTGGTATTGCTTAATTTGAAAAATACTCGAGAAACAATAGGTGGATTCGTGTATATATATATATATATATATATATATATATATATATATAACTTATTTTTTGTATGAAAGTATGTACATATTGTACATATTATATACCTATCTATGCCACTTTATAATTGGAAGAATAGGTACACTGTAGATTTTGTAAATCTTCAAGTTCTTTATTCAAGTTTTATATATATGTAGTAAGAACTACATATATATAAAACTTGAATAAAGCGAGGGTAAATAACGTAACGGAATGTAATAGTCTAACATTACAATATAATATCATAAAAATACGCTCCAGAATTTGGAGAGTCAAAAGTAGCTCATATATCTTGAGTTATAAATAATATTCAGTGCAGATATTTCTTTTTTATTCCAATTGTTTCATAAAAGTTTAAATGTCTCAGATTGAATATATGAACTTATTACGTGACATATATTATACTCTAGAGCATTTCAGCGACTGCGTAAGGGTCTTTGTACCTATTAACATCGTATATATAAAATTAGCCTATTATATGACGCCTTTTTTTTTAACGTTGGGAAATGCATTTACGCACGACGTGTGGGACTCACCGGCAAATCCAGTACTACCCACTAAAACCCAACAAAACCTTCCCCCGTCTTATTGGGGCGTCGCAGGATCGCTTACGCATTCAACTACGATGCCCCGACGGCAGGTCTGCCGAAGCAGACCACAACAACCACGCGGTTGCTCCACAGTCCACTCTGCTATCAGAGAAGTACCAGGAGCAACCCGCATGGTACACCGCCCCCCGAAGAGGGCCACCTCCCACCGCCCACCGAAGTGGGCAACCTCCCTGTGCGTTTCTTAGCTTCGCGCCTGGTTGGATTGCCGGGCACTACTGAGCCCCCCCACCACGACAAGGTGAACGCACGTTGGGGGGGGAGGGATTATATGACGCCTGGGTTAAGTCATATTATTATTGAACTAGATTAATTTTTGATATTGTTTTTATTTTCTTTTATGTTTGCTATTTTAACTTTTTTTTTATAATTCTCAAGTTTTCCATATCGAATAAAATTTTATTGTAAGAAAACTTTTCCTTGTATAGAATCCTAACAAAGAAAATTTATATCTAAATAATGATTGAGTGAAGTCTAGTTTCTTCGTGTAAAGATGTAAATATATGTTTGTCCTTATTTTACACAAAAAAGGATTAAAGTATTTTTATTATGCAATTTTTTGAAATTCCGAAATTTTTGATTCAACTCTGATGATTCAGGAGTTTCAAAAAGTGTCAAAGTCAAAGTCATCAGAAACTGAAGTCAAAGTGAAGCGAGCATATTATGTTTCTAATGTGACACATAACACTAATATTATACCTATATCTGGATAATGTGCATAATATGACGACTTATCAGTATTTACACTGTGTTTGGATAAAACAAATAAAGCTTTGTACATTTTAAACGACCCATTTTAGATCATGCTTCACAGCACACAATTTTTGAACAAAAATGTAGTAGATTCTTTGTTGAGCTACACTGCTTTTTATATTACAGTAACTTTAAGATAGAGTTTAGCTTAACGTCTTACACTAGAATATTTTGAAACTACTTTCCGTTGGGATGAATTCAGTGGTGGCATTTGGGGCTTTTCTAATTTATTAGTTCCCTAGTACTTTATGTTATCTAAGTAATAATAAATGAATTATATTCTTTAAAGTTAATGGTACATGTTAATGTGATTAATTTTTAAACGATTTCATATTGCTGAATGCATTTTTGACGATTATGTAGGCAATGTTAATAAGTTGCGACGCCAATTAAATTTTACCGTAAAATTGTATACCTAATTAGTAAATTATATCAAACTTATAAAATACTTTGTTGACTTAAATTCTTTGAAATATATTTTTTTGTTGGCAGGATCATTATGTCTTCGAAATGTATACATGATCATCCCAGAAGCGGTAGAACGAGGCAAACCTGCTGTTATTAGGTGTATGTATGACTTAGAAAACGAAGACTTATACCAAGTTAAGTGGTACCGCGGGGATCGGGAGTTCTGCCGGTACTCACCCAGAGACGTGCCGCCTCTCAAAGTCTTCCCCATCCCAGGAATAGAAGTTGATGTAAGTATCTACTTATCATATATAAATATTAAATTGCATCGATCATTCTATCGAAAGTTCTAATTAAGAAAGGTACATGAGGGTATAACACTTCCAACTTCCCAATTTTGGACTGGTCTTTGTTACAAAAACTCAATAACTATATATATTTGGTCGTTCTCTGGACTGGAATTCGGGACCTGTGTATTATTTGGATCTGCAGTAGAGTATGCTAGCGACTAGATCAAATTATTATGCTGCTTAATACTAATTACTACGCTAGAATAAGTTTATTGGATTCTCATCTATACATATGTACATTCATATAATAAATCAGTAACTTAGTGCTATCTGTACATGAATTATTTTATAAAAGCAATGACTCTTACATATTGTGTACAGAATATAGACCCCGTTATTAAAATTCTGTTTGTCTATATGTTTGTGTGCGTTTCACGCAAAAACCAATTTTAACTAATTTTGTGTAGTGGTAACTTATAACTTGAGTTAACATTTAGTATACATTTTACTACAGGAAAATCTTTTATTTCTATTTATGAGAAAACACAATAACTGGTTCGAGTCATCCTCAGAAATTTACATGGCTAACGCTGGCTAAACATGTTAGGTTTAACAAGCGAAGCGAAAGTAAATCGCTAGTGTGGAATATTTGTGTGACGAACAAAAAACAATACAAAAATATTTCCGGTGTAGCTAGCATAAAGTAAGATTTATATACACCTTGTGTGGGTGTATACCTATCGCTATATAGTAATAATTAATTGATTTAATATTATTAATTGCAAAACGCCTTATAACAATTAATTTCAGGATTATAAAATAATGCATTGTAAAATATAAAATTTAAGAATCTAAGAAGTTGAAGAAGAAGTGTAATAAATTATAATAAAGCACCTAGACTTTTCTCGCCGTATCAACTGGCTTAACTTTTACATACAATGTATTAGTTTTAATTCTATTTCTGAGTTTTCTTAGCGCAATTTTCTGTTTTCATTTCCCATTTCAGACTAGGGATTTACCCTCGGTTTCCTGCGTAGTAACTCGTAACTCTAAATGTGTGACTCCAAATCATATCCCTGTGCTTATCCAAATCCGTCCAATCGTGTAAGTGGAAGAAACTTTCACCTTTATAATAATAAGTATGGCCCACCGAGTTTTACTCTGAGTATACGGCCAAAAGTACAATTTTCTTTAAAAAAAAACTAAAAACTGTAACAAATACAAAAAAAATAAATAAAAGTAAAAACTTTGTATCCGACCGGTATTAGAACCCGGACTCCTGTGATTGTCAGTCTTGCTCCTTGGCCGCTTGATCACGACACTTATGCCCAAGCGTGCGAAATTAGCGACCATATTTTACGTGGTAATAATGCGAAAGAAAACCACATGAAAACTCGAAAACACGCGTTTTCCCAGACATAAGACTAATCTTGATCGATTGTTCGCCCCCGAAAACCTCCACATACCAAATTTCAGCGAAATAATAAATAAAAAAAATAAAATACGACATAAAAAAATACCTAATTTGCATGACTAAACAAGTTCCTGGTGATGTTTTAATCGTTCGGCTACATAAAACTATCAATAAATGCCTGACAGCAACCAATTTATCTATCTATAGACTATAGTAATTGCAGCTTGTATATAAAGCGTTCCATTTTGCGGTATCTATACATATAATAAAATTGTAACTAATCCGAATCTGTACATGAAATATTTTTTGGAAAATCTTATTGAAATAAACATTATTATCGATACAGAGGCCGAATCTATAGTTTTTAGAATTTTTGTCTGTCTGTCTGTCTGTCTGTTACCGCATCACGGAAAAACCTCTAGAGGGATTTTGATGAATGGAATTTGGTATGATGATAGCTGGTTATCCGGGTCAACATATAGGATACTTTTTACCGCAGGAAAATGTCTCATTTCTGAGAATAAATACAAAAACTGCAATGTAAGAGTATACTAATATAACCAAATTCTTAGGTTTTGTAAAACCTAAGAATTTGGTTTTTGGTCATCTGAACGTTTGCATGCATTTGCATTTGGAGCGGATGATCTGCCTTCACCGGTTTTTGTCCAGCGCGTCTCTTACCACTGTGTGGAATTTCGATGACGAGTCTTTAATTGGTCCATCTTATTGAAGCACGACCGCGCGATCTTTTGCCTTCGGTATTTCCAACCACAATGAGTTTGTCCAGACTTTCGTCGCCTCTGCGCATTGTGTGGCCAAAATACGAAAGAATACGTTGTTGGTATAAGGTGGTCCAGTACTTTCACATTAATTTTGTTAGAATATTATGAAAAAGTTTAACTTAATTTAACTTAAGAAGCAAAAGTTTTGTACTTCTATATTTTAATCTTGATGATGATGATGATGTTCTCCCGACCGTTTCCGGCCACGGCGGCCAATCTCATTGAGACTAGCCAATTGCGCAGGAGATATTATAGTGCACAAGTGTACGCGCAGACACAATGTGCACTCTCTATTCCTGTCACTCTCATATTCTGGTGGGACGACCACTCGACACGACCAGTGAGAGTTAAGGCGCAGGACCGACGGCTTTACGTGCTCTCCGAGGCACGGGGGTGAAACACCGCCAACTTCCCAACTCCGGGCTGTTACTGAGGCTTTACAGAAAAACTCAATAACTAAATTTGGCCCGACCCGGGACTCGAACCCAGGACCTCCGGGTGTGCAGCCGTACTTGCTAGCCACGACACCACCGAGGCAGTTTTAATCTTAATAACTAAGCGAACTTGTATGTACCTATATAAAATGAAGAACTATTGTAGTTTTGATGATTGATACTAACTTGCTTGTAATTAACCGCACTAACAGTATCGATACCGACCATCGATAATTTGTGGTTTTCAGACTATATGCTTTATATGCGCAAAATTATTTACCTTGGTCCCTTTTTTGCGTCACCTAAAATTGTATTTTTTTTCATTTCGGTGGACTTATTAGTATATATCCAAGGGGCACTACAGATTTATGCCCGATAGTCTAGGCCATTTGCACATTATGATAGACAACAAAATTTTGCTTGATCTAACACTGCTAAGATATGTACTCGTATGTACGTTAATAAAAATTTGTCAATGCAATCATGGGCACGAGAGACTAAGTGTCTCAGAATAAGAATAATTCTGTGAAAAAATATTAATTTAATCCTGTTCACGTAGGATAATTATCTATTATTTATTATGTGGGCTCCTTCCACATATTACACACATTTATACGAGTACGTACCTATATACAGAACACATTACACAAACAAACATACACCAGTTGCGCGCGTGCAGTGGAAACGAGCCGGAACGGCCAGTTCTATTTTTTATGCTCGTGATTATTTCTATTTCCTTTTTTACATTTGTACTAGTGACTCACCCTCGGTTCCCTTGGGTTCACCTCTAGAAAAACAAAAACAAATCTATTCCACGGGAGCCGTACCTTTTTTCCTGATAAAAAGCAACCTTTGTGCTATTCCAGACTATGATCTATCTATCATATGTCTGTCCCAAATTTCATTTAGATCTGTTCGGCTATTCTGGTGTGATTGAGTAACAAACATCCATCCAAACATTCACACATCTAAACTTTCACATTTATAATATTAGTAAGTGTAAGATATTCTATATATATTCTATATATATTGGTAAAAACAACACGAGTTGTTTTTACCAATGGATAGAGTGGTTCTCGAGAAAGTTTTTGTATATAATTTGTTAAGTTTTTGTATACATTGACTAAAATATAACGATATTTGTTGAATGTGTCGAAAAAAATAAGCTATCAGGGAGCTTTCAACGAAAACGCTACCTAAACCCTTTGAGATATAACAAAATAATGTATGGTGGAATTGTGTATCTTATAGGTATAGGTCTACAGAAAAGTCCGCGATGGCATATGTCTATCTCATAAGGATAACATACTATATCCATTTTAATACCTAGTTAGCTTATAAGAGAAATAATTAAAGCTAAATGGACTTTATGATATTATTAGATAGAGAAATGTATTCAATATTCTATCAATGGTAAAGCATGCTTGTTTTAAGTTTTTTTTTACTATTTTCTTTTAACAGAATTAGTAAAGTAAATTAATAAAGCTTATTAAAGATAAGTTGATGTTTAGCTGTCATCCAATAGTCGACTTTAGTCCTAATCTCCTCTCCCTTTTGCTTTCACACTATCGAGTGTATTCATTTTGATTCTCTCAGTGTATTTGGTACTTGATAATATCAATATGTATAATATCAATATGGTAAATTTCATTAAGATTAGCTAAGTACGCAGAGTATAACATTTTAGTAAACATATGTACATATGCGCAAACTCATTAGAGCTCTCTCTATTCCTTTCACTCTTAAAGTCCAGTGGGGCGACAATTCGACACAATCCGTGAGATATTAGACGCAAGAGCGACGGCTTTACGTGCCATCTGAGGCACTGGGGTGAACCACGGGCAATTTCCCAAATGTGTTTCTGAGGCTTTCCTAATAAGAAAACACAATAACCAATTGACCTGGGACTCGAACCCTGGATCTCTGGGTTTGTAGTACACTAGACAAATGCAAGTTTAGGTACCTGTTATTGGTAGCTGCAGTAATTGCTCACTATCACAATTTGTGCCGTAAGGTAAAGATAGCAAATAAGAAACGTTTTTAGTATAATTTTAAAAAAGTAAGTTTCACTTTTCTATTTCTGGATATTCGTAGGCGAAGAAATTTATTTGTTAAATGTCCTTGCTCTTTGGCGTAATGTAGGTAATTAAGTACTCAATTTGTATAAGCGTTTTCTTTGTGATGTTGTTTTATTGCGTTATTATGGACTTATTGCTTTGCTTAACAAAACACGGAGAATATATATTTTATTTTAATTGTACATTTTGCCCACTTATGTATCTATGATGTTACAATAAGCCAGTTAAAACATTAAAGAACATGTCCTTTTATAGTAAAACCTGAATTAGTATAATATTTGCAACCAATGTA